TGCAATGTTTATATACAATGGAATACTGTCATAAAGAAGGATAAATGAGTCATTTGTAGTTAAATGGGTGTATCTGGTACCACTGTGTAAAGTGAAGTAAATAAGACACACAAGCTTAAATATTGCATGGTTTCTCTTGTATGAGAAACTCAAAAAATAAAGTTCAAAGAAATACAGATAATAGGAAAAAATGAGAAAGAAAGTTATTGTAATCTAGCATAGGCAATGTGTTTAAAAGTATGCATTCATTTAGTGTAATTGTCTTGTGTGCATGGTTTTTTTTTTGCGTATTAGTCTGGCTGTTAATCTTTATGTATTACAGTTAACTTTATAAGGGCTTATAAGATAAATAGATGAATCTGATGCTGGAAAGAAAATGAATTAATATTTTAAAAAATCAGTAACTCTAGAATAAGTCATAAAAGGTGCTGTATCTTTTTTCTTGCTTTCTCCTGCATTAGTTACCCTGGAGGAAGTTGGTAATCATGATCAGAAAGGGAGACAGGCATAGTGAGGAGCTGAGTCTTCAACCAGCACCATGCTGACTGAGCCATGGAGGAAGTGGATTCCTCAGCCCCGTTAAGCCTTTAAGTAACTACAGCCCCTGAAGACATCTTGACTAACTTCCTGAGAGATCTTGAACTAGAACCACCATATTAGTCACTCCCAGATCCCTATCAGATAATGTGAGATAATAAATGTCTGTTGTTTTAATCTACTCAATTTTGGCATAACTTGTTACACTGTAATACGTAACTAATACAAGATGATTCAAAGATTTGCCTGGCTTCAGGCATAGCTCAATCTGGGAAAAAATAATTTCAGTCTCATGACTGAGGTTTTCTATGCATGGCGGTTTCATTCATCAGACAGTTTCAGCCTTAAATAGGGAAAAATGGCTATTAGCAGATTTTGTGATCCTACAAGAAGAAAAGGTCCACTGACTTCCAGGCTGAAAATGGCTTGAGAGAGCAAAGAAGGGAAACTGGGAGGCTTAGATAAAGATTCTCACATAAGCAAGGGCTTGCATAGTTTGACTCTTCCATCACTGGCACAGGCAGAAGCCTAGGCTTCCTTATTAGTGTGCCCAAATATGGGGCAGAAGAAGGAGAGGGAAGGATGAGACTTCAACTACGTTGTGATGGATTGATGACCGGTGGTTGAGTTGTAATACCAGCTGAACTGATCAGTGTGGTGCTGAGTGTGGATGGCCCACCTGAGGATTGTTGTCAACATAAAAAGGAGAACTGGAGAGGAAGAAGTAGTGGTGTTGGTTCTCCTGGCGTTTCTCCTGGAGGCTCCTTGTCAAGCCTTTTTCTTGATATGAACTTGGTTGTTATTGTCAGAGGAGCTCGGGACCTTGTTGTCACTGAGAATGGCTTGGTTCCCTTTGGGGGAGCTCTGGTCAGTACTTTACCATTTCCTGGTACTGGAGGGGAAGATAGTGTGCTGTTCAATCTCCAGGAGAAGTTTGTCACACTGGTTTACTGATACGAACTCGGTTGCTCTCATCGTCAGAGGAGCTCAGGACTTTGTTGTTGCTGAGGATGACTGTGGTAACTTTTCAGGGGAGCCATGGTTCTTACTTTGAGCATTGCTTCCTGGCTCCAGTGAAGAACCCTTACCCTACTGGCACAGATCCTTCATCTCGCTGACACAGAGTTACCTTTGAGCCTTCCCAATGCAGATCCATGAAATAGACTTGCATGAGCCATTGTCACGTGCTCTAGGTCTTCAGCTGAACTCATATAGGATGTGGCTGTGAGGTCCAGGCCCCCAGCTAGATTTTTTGGGTTCTTAGTGGACAGATTTCCTGCACTTTTCATATTTGATTCTTAGGGTGACTTTATAAAATAATTCTGTAAATTACATGTCCTGTGTGTAATCATTTCCCTTTGCAAAACTTGTCTATAACATATGTCAATATCAAGCATCAAACAACAAAACCAAAATGCCTAACACTAAGAACTTGTCTATTTCATCTACTGTGTCGCCATATGGTTGTACATAATATTCCTTTATAATTTTTATTTCTTTGAGGGCAGTAGTGTTGTCTGTTCTCATTTCTGATTTTAGTAGATCTTGCTCTTGCTCATGCACACACACATGCACACACATGCTCACATGCTTACACACATACTCATTCCTTCCTTGTCTTTCTCTTTCAGTTGATCAATTTTTTTTTACCTGGTCAAATTCACTGTTTATTAATTTTATCCTACCTGGTCAAACTCATCCATCTGAGCTTTAAATTTTAGATATTATATTTTCAAATGTGGTTAAATACACTTTCTATTTGGTTCTTTTATATAGTATCTAACTCTTTACTGGCATTCACAAGTAGGCATATTCTCCTACTTTTACTTAGTTATTTAGAAATGGCTTCTTTGTCAGGCATAAGTTTAGTGAGACAAATCTGTAGTCCCAGCTGCCTGGGAAACTGAGGCAGGAAGATTATTTGAGCCCAGAAATTTGAGGCCAGAGTGAACAAAAGCTCATATTGAGCAAGTAAATAAAAGTGTTATTGGATGTAGTTCTTGAACATATTTAAACAGCTTGGTTGTAGTCTTTGTCTTATAAGTCTGATGTCTGGATTTCTTTTAGAACATCTTTCTCACTTGCCTTTTGACTCTATAAATGGGCTATACTTTCTTATTTATTCACATCTCATATTTTGTGGGAAACTGGGAACTTTATGTAATATAAAATGACAATTTCTTGAAATAGTCTTTCTTTCCTGCAAATTTTATTGTTGTTGCCCAATAAAGATTTAAGATTTCTCTATGTTAAATGACTTTTCTGATTTAATTCTGCAAAATGTATACTTTTTATTGTGTGTCACTACTGAAGTCTCTGCTTGGTTAGTGTAGTTGTTAGCTAATAGTGATTTTCTTAAGCATCTGAGTCTACCAGTCTTTGTCAAGGTGATCTATGTGAATGTTAAGGATGATCAACACTCAGCCAGGAGCTTAAGAGCTCTGTCTTAGCTTTCACTTCCTGCTTATGCAGGGTGGCAAGCTAAGCATGATCAACAGTCCTATGCATGCACAGACATCTATGCATGCACTGACCTCATTCCTGGTAACATGTTGGAGCTTTGCAAATCCCATATGGAAATCTTACTCCCAGGCGTTTCCCATTATCGTGGTGGTTTAGCCAATTACTGTCTCCAAATGTTATCCACTAACCCAGATACCCACAAAGACAGTTATCTCTAATTGTTTCAAGAAGGTTTTTTCATACTGAGGAACTTCTAACTGGGTCAAATAAAGATTCCTTCTAATGAGTTCCCTAGGCCTGTCACACAGGTTAAATAATCACAATTCTTCGAAAATGTGACTTCGAAAGATCTCCAATCCCATCCCGCATCAGTGACTACAGATTGCTGGCTTTCTCTGCTGTGGAGCAGGAGAGGGGCGAGAAGGACAAGTTACAGTATCACAGTGCTCACTGTTCTCACAAATATTCAGTCTTTTCCTTGACTAATTCCTCCCTAGATTGCTATAAGTCTTTAATTTCCATAATTCAAAAAAGGAAGCTGAATCTTTTTTTTTTATTAAGTTCTCAATAGTTTTACAGAGAGAATTTTTGAAAGTCCTCACCCAGCATTTTTGCTGATGTCTTCCTACATGCCTGTTGCTTGGTTTGATTTGGTTTGGTTTGGTTTGGTATTTGAGGCTAGGTTACCTTCTGTGTCAAGTTCTACTTGCCTTTCAATCCTTAATCATTTGTTATTTGCAGGGTGTGATTTTTCTGTGGCCATTGCCCCTTTGACATTTTCTACCTCATTCCCCTTCCAAATTCAAGGAAGGGGAAATGTTCCTCAAGCCTAGGCTCCTAAAAATGCCAACTGTAACCCCAGCATGGGGTTATGAGTAATCAGTAGTCAAATCTGTCCTTGTAGGTCTGTTTTCTATCATTTTTGAATACACATTTGCCATACACAATGGTTATTTTCATTGCGGGGAGTTAGTACATGTTCATAACACATCTTACTTCTTTTTATTTCCCCTTCTGCTCCTCTCCCCACCTTTCCACCCGTCTCCAGATCTCCATTTCATTTGCAAATGATATATCTCCCAATTTCCTATTATCTGTATTTTAATTTGGTCTTTAAATTATTTAGACTTTGGTTTTATCGTATGTGAGAAACCATGTGATGTTTAAGCTTGTCTGATTTATTTCACTTAATATTATGGACTCCATCATGCATCCATTTGGCTACAAGTGATTAAAGTTTATTCTTCTTTATAGCAGAGTAGTATTCCATTGTGCACAATGTTTTCTGTCAGTAAAAGAACAAACTAATGTGAGTTGAAAATCACAGCATTCAAGGGCCCAGGTGCTGCATAAGACTATATGAATTCATTGCTCCCTAGCAGTGATGATAATGGTATGCACTCCATTGAGTTATCCTGAGAATTATGTGAGAAACAACTCAAATCCAACCTTTAGCACAGTGTGCTACACAAGCACTTTGCACACCATTGCTGGCATTGTTTTTATTGTCAGAACACCCATACTTTACAACACTGTGTGGCCAAGCAAGAGAGAGCTCAGAAATCCACTACTTCAACTGTATGCTCAGGGCAATAATTTACTTTACCTGACTTTCTTCTAAAATGGTATCTAGCCTGTTTAAAAGGTTTCTGAGAACAAGTTTACCATCTCAAAAGCAGCTCATGGTATTGCTCATTCATTCTCCTTACTGGAAAGCTCTTCCTTCTATTAGACCCAAAAGCTTTCTCTTGCTTTTTCTCTAGAAAGCCCTGAAATAAAGCTATACCCATTTCTGTCTACAACACCTTCACTATCTGAATACTGCATCCTAACCCCCTCTAGCTCCTCCTTCCAGTGATGCCCTGGGGAGCAGGCAGGCACTTCCTAGCCAGATTAAGGTTCCCTTGCCTCTCACTGCCACAGCCTGAGCTACCCAGCTAAAATCAAACCAGGTCTCGCTTCTACCTCCCTTCCCACAAGATAAAGCACAAAAACACGCATACAGAAGACACTTAATTTATTGGTTGCTTTTTGGCAAAGGTTATATAAACATTATTGGGGTGAAAATTAAATTGTAGTTACAGATTCATAAAACTTTATGTCAAATTAGCTTTTACGAAACTATTAAATCCCCTTTTACCCTCATTCCCGGGGTACTTAGATCATAGTGTATATAATTGTTCATTCTTTTTAAATGATTAAAGCAAACATAATATATAATGCAGATGATATTACATATCTTGAGGAATGACAAATCAATAGAGCTACTTTCACTCTTAAGTATCAACTGATCATTTAGCAAAGTTCTGTCCATGCACTTTTCATACTTAAAAGGACTTTATTTTTTAACTGTCCACCATTATCTGCTCTTTGTGCACACATCATAAGTCTCCTCAAACAACACTTAAAGTCTTCTTTAATATTACTTTAAAATGTTAACCTTTAAGGAACATTCAATTAAAAGAAATAAATGCTCAGTTCTTGACTAACAGATCTTACAACGCGTCAAGATTGTGATTTCCTCCAACCTGACCGAAGTCCCCAACAACATACAATGTGCCAGCATCTTCTCGGTCCATTTCAGAAGAAGTCATATAGAGGAAGAAAAAAATGCTTGAAATCACAGTGACCAAAGATTCGAATTAATAATTACATTAAATAACCATAACTTTTTGTTAAACTATTCACATTCCACACAGTGGAAATTATCCTTTCCTTCAGATTTTTCATTACAACTTTTAACTTTGAGTCACTACAGTAATAAAAGACAACTTAGAGACTACGGGTTGTGTTCTTCTCTTTTAATGCCAAGCACAAAGTGTATATCATAGAATTTATATTTGGTGTTTGGCATCATTTTCATAGGTAAGGACAAGATGACATCTATCTTGCCATTAAAATTTTTATAATAATGAAAAATCACAAATACTATTACATTATCAGTGACTCGAATAAAGTAAGTAACAGATACGGCATTTTCAGTAAATGTTGGAAGACACACCATACTTGTGCTAGTCTTAAAATAGGCACAGTAAGAAAAGCAGATATTTCCCTCAGGCTGGTGCTGTGCTTTTAGGATTTTTATGCTACTGATTATTCCACTGAAGTTAATTTTAAAGAAATTCTCTACACTTTAGTCAAATCTGACTTAATGCAAGACCACAGTATGAGCTTCTAAAAGAAGATCGTTCCTGCCAATGTACGTCATCTCTCTTTAACAAAGTTACACGCTTGTGGCAGAATTAAAAGAAGATAAACTCAGTGTTTGCCAGTTCTGAATGTCATTTTTCCTCTCTGGTGTAGTTTCACATTTTCAGCTTCTTCTCCTTTCTCTTCCTCTCTCCCACCCTTAAAATTCTGCCTTCACATTTGCGTGCTTAATTAAATCCATCCTGTGCTCTACTGCGGAAGGATGTGAGTGATACAGAGATTCAGGGTGGGGTCATACAGTGTATACGAAATGCACAGACTATGTTTCACAAATTCATCTGGTGTAGAATCATCAGTAGTGATTTTAGATGTTCTAAAAAGAGACCCATTTTGGGTATTCAAGATAACTTCTGTCTTGAAGCATGGTTCATGTTTAGTTGTCAGATGGGAGGGCACTAGACCAAAACAAAAACAAAAACAAAAAAGTCATAATTGCAATGGTTCTTTGAAAGCTGGAGCCTTGATGGACAGTTGAAGTCTAAGTCTGAGATACCAAGTGACTTACGATTTGGCTAGTGAAGCTGAGAAGATAAAGACAAAAAAAAAAGTATTCAAGGCATTTACACATAGAACCTCAGGCTTGAAGAGAACAGCTTAGCCAAATCCAGGGTGCAGTAAGGTTCACCCACCCTGCACTATGGCCATTAGATAAATTCTAAGTAGGGATAGCAAGCAGGCCAAGTTTAATCAGAGGACAGCACCTCCAGTCGCACAGAATAGTTGCAATGTCACTTGGGAGCCCTGCGATGAACATGGACAGCTAACATGGCCAGAGCTCTGCATTCTCTGTGAGATTTCCCTTTAGACCCTCAGAGAGCAAAGGGAAAAAGGGAGATCACATCCCCATACCTTAATCCAGATTATAAGAGAGGCTACTACATAGTGAGATGAAATCCCCACTACCTCCTGATTCTCTCTTTCCAGGGATTGATCTCACAATAGCTAAAATGAAAAGACCCCAGTAGACTTCTAGTTAAACCCTGTCCTATCAGACTGTCCTTTATGGTCAGGTACACTTGGCAGAGGCAAAAAATTTACATGGTTATGCCTCTCAGAAGTGTTACACAGAAATAATGAACTGAGGAAAAGGTGATTATAACCAAGAAAAAGAAAAGATATCAGGTTCTTTCTTAGTTCTGTGTAGAGAAGGAGCTCTTTGGGTTTATTCATTACTTGGTTTTAAAATTAGACATGGTCAATGTTTTAGTTTTAAAATTAGTTTTGGGTGACAGTTTCCAGAGATCACATGAACAGCTAAAGTTAGTGATTTGGGGGCCAATTCTATTGCTGTCTGTTCACTTGGGTTCTCTTAAGCAAGAAAATTGTCTCACTGAAGCCTGGGTCCCCCATGTTTTGCAGTGGGCCTCTCAAGCCTCTGTATAGCTCTCTGCTGCACTTTGTTGACCCTGATTAGGCCTCGAGTGGGCCAAACACTATCTCTGTCAGGTATCTGTCTGGCTTATCTATCCTTCATCGCATCACCACGTCCCATCCCAATCTAGAGGGCAGCATCACAAGAAGGGAAACATTTACAACTGTGGTCAAGTGCAATAATTCAGAACCGTGGAAGAACTGGGATGAGACAAATGGCCACTGAGAACCTAAAGATGGACTGTGGGAGGGGAAAGGGAGGGAGAAAGCCAGTGCAGGTTAAAGTTTCTGAAATGAATGCAGCAGGAACACAGGTCCCCTGCTCTCCAAGTGGCCTGGGCCACTGACATTCATTCTGAAAGAAAATCCTTTCCCCAGAAGGGCACAGGAAAGACAAGAACAGACCTGATCACAGCCTTGCCCCTGTGCATGTGGACAGGGTTGCCGTGGGCATCTCTACCCCCCTGTGTTGAAGCAAAGTATAACAGAGCCCCTCTCCCAGAGACCGTTTCCTCTGATGCCTACAGACACCCACACGCACCCACGCATGCACGCGGGCACACACACATACACACAATATGCACAAGTAGACACCTGCCGGGAGGCAGCTGCTGGTTCTTCTGGCCTCTAGGTTTAAGCAGACAAGAAATCAGGGTGTTTGTGTCTGGTTCTAGGCTGCCCTGGGCTGTGTCCCCAGGACAGGGTGAGTGTGTTCCTTTAATCCAAATCGATAGATATGCAGCGACACTGCTTCACACGCGTGACCCTCTTCTTTTTGGTTGGTGGCTGCAGTTCAGGGCAGTTGAGTGTGACCATCATGGTGGTGAATTTCTTGGGCTTGCAGAAGGAGCAGGACTGGAAGGAGCCCTCCTCTTTCCGGATGTGCCTGGGGATATAGAAGGAGTTGCACTGGCCGTAGCAGAAACGGTTGATGATGGTGCGGCTGTTGCAGCCCTCCTCGTGGATGGTCTGCTTCAGGGGCTGAGTCTTGCACCAGTCTCGCTTCAGGTATTTGCGTTCAGTCACGTGCAGGGCCTCTTGGCTGGACTCCAGCACCTCCTCGCCAGGCATCGCCGTGCCCCGCCCTTGGCCTCGCCCCCGGTTCCTGGAGCCCGGTTGCTGTGGTGACTCAGTCTGCTCCGAGTCGTTGTGCTGGGCCTTGTCTGGAGGGGGGATGGCACCTTGGGACCCTTTCTTTTTCCCTTCAGTAGCAGGCAGCAGGGTCCCCAGGAGGAGAAGCAAAGCTCCCACAGTGTAGGCGGTGCGGCTCATACTGAAGAAGAGAGGCAGAGAAAGAGAGACATGAAAATTGAACAGCGAGTTAGGAAAACCATTCTATGAAGCACTTAGACACTTTATGTGAATACTTCTTTGATATCTCACAATATCTCTACAATCTCGCTTATCCTCTCAGCCTTTAAGATGTGAAGGAACCAGCCCAGGTTCACATCACATCATTTTCCCACTAAGCTACCTCCATAGCTATCTCTCTCTTTCTTTTTTGCTTTATTTCTTTCAACAGGGCTTCACTGACCTGCTAGACTGATCAGCCTGGGTTGGAATTTGAACTTCTGTCTGCCTCAGCTTCCCAGAGCACGGGGGTTACAAGAGTGTGCCACCATGTGCACCCATAGTCAAAAGGAGACCCAGTCAGGACCCATCTCCTCATCACCTGGACCATTGTGAGGGTATTCTGCCTGGCTTCTGGCACCAACCATACCGGACTGTGCATTATGGCCACAGAAGGGTGTTCATTCTTGTACTTGACAATGTGACATTTTCATTGTTCCCATACACAGGAAAGAGAGCCCGAGAGGAGACAGAATGCATGGACAGAGAAAAGGATGCCACAGGGAGAGAAGTGGATGAAAGGTAAGGATGGTGCTTCTGATTGTAGTCCCGGGGCAACACCTTACTACTTGAAAAAGTTGCTTTACTCCTTGATAAATGACTTCATGATACAAACACCCCTCCAGGGAAGGATTGGTGCAGACTGAATTTGACGTAAAAGTAAGAGCAACCTGAGAACTAACCGTGCATATAGATACTGCAGATAGACCACATGACCATACCAGGCAGGTCAAGTGACTCATGTGATTTCTCAACATCTTGCTTATTCTTATCTTGAAACTGAGCAGGTATATTCTGTACATTATTCTTTAAACCATGCTATAGACTTTTCTACTTTTTAAATGATGAAATATCATTCATCTATGTGATCTCTCTTTAAAATTAAAAAAAAATTTAAACTCTCTAAGGTCCCAGCACTAGGGAGACTAAGGCAGAAGGATGGTTTAAGCTCAGGAGTTCATGCAACAGAGATCACACCTCAAAAAGTAAAATAAAATAAAGAAAAAGGAAAGGAAAAAAAGAGTGAGCAAATGAATGGACTCACACAGTACACGTAAACATTTACACTAATAAATACCATAGATGCATTGCATAAATTAACAACCATGAATTGTTGTAAGTCTGAGCTAGACTTGGATCAGGAAGGGAAGATTAGATGAAGAAAGACAGAAGTAAATAATAAATACATTAACAAAGCAGAGGGAATACTGATAAAAGCAAGGATGGAGAGAGAAATGAATGGAGTGAATAAAGCAAATCTTAATCAGGGTGTTTAGGGAAGTAGGGAAGACAGGGAAAAAGCAAAGGATAAAGGATACAGCAAAAGAGCGTTTCCTAAAGGGCACGTGCGGGGAGTCTTCTGAAGTGTGACGGCGCAGAGAGTCATCAGGGATGCTGGACGAATGCAGGTTGCCTGAAGCCAGCTTTGAGCAGCAAAACTGAAGCCAGCTTTGAGCAGCAAAGCTGTGGTGTTTTGACCATGAGGCACACAGGGAAATATTAAAACATGAAAGGATTTTCTTTTCAATGAATGCCGCTTCAAATTTACAACCTCCCACCTAGGCCATCAGGACAACCTGACCTGATTCTTGCGGCTTTCTCTGCCCCGTTCCTATGGTTTTCCGGACCTAAGAATACAGCTGTGAAGTACCCACGTTCTCTACTCCCTTCTGAACACCAGTGTTATGCATGATGATCACTAAGTGCAGTTCAATAGTAACTTTTTAATTCCTCCTCAAGAAACTTGACAAATTGGTGTGATTATCTTGAGCAATTATCTTTCAAATATAAAAGCAGTGTACAAACTACATTCTCTAATAGAAAGCCTCTGGTAAGTAACTACCATTCAGCCTTAAGGCTAATGTCAAACTAAGATAACTAAATCTTACATTTAAAATAATTAGCTGTCACCATCCCTCCAACATTAACCTAATATTTGGAGAAAAGTCCAAGTTGAAGCCAATAATGTGACACTTGGCTCTCGCGCCAACTGTAGGTTCCCTGGCTTTCGTCAGTGTATATTACAATGTACACTGTTCTTTAATCAGAGCCTTTTTGGCCACAACAACAAAAAATTAATTTCTTTGTTTTGTCTTTTAAAAATCACTTATGAGGAAAGCCCAGTTATAAAACAACTGATTTTCTCCAAAGACCAGAATAACTTGGGCCATGACTATCAGTCTCCTGGGCTGCCATGAATTTGAGATGCTTTCACAAGTTTCTACTATTTATTCAATTCAGGTCCAAGATCCAAAATGAAACTTGCTCGCTGACCATTTCAAAGGAGGAGTACATAAGATGGCCCTAGAACTACACCCACAGTGTTTTTCACACCCACAAAATTACCTTCAGGCCAATTCCCTGTTCTCCAAACAAGACTCTCAGCAGTCCACTTGCACTGAGGTTTCCTGAGACTGCCTGGGGACATACATCAACCACATATGACCAGTTCAGTTCACTGTGTAAGGTCATCCCCTTTGACAAACATCTGTCCAGAAAATACAGGGTTTTTTTTCTGGAATACTTAGTAGCCTTTTTATCATCAACTTTTATTTCATAGCATTTCCACATGTTATTTAGTAACTATAGTACCTTGAGAGTTGGCGAGGGCTTATTCATCAGCTTACTGTTAGGGCTTGGCACATAGAAAGTGCTCATTAAAATCTATGAAATGACTACTGTGGATGACATGGCTTTTACACACTTTCTGTTCTTTTTATAATGCCCTCATGGAAGAGTTACTTGCAATTCTTTTGGTTTCTGAGCCTATGTATGGCAAACTTTTTCTAGCCTAGAGAGCTCCCCAATCCTTGTCTTTTTCTAGAAAGACTACAGATTTCCCAACATATTACCTAGTTGAATATAGGACACCACAAGCTTTATTTTCAGTTGAAGCCATTGGATACATCATGGTAGAAACCAACAAAAACAAAGCAGCTAATTCAAAATTTGTGAACTGCGGTTTTCAGCTTTAATTGGACAAACATCCTATTCCTATGAAAGCACGTATATTCTATAAGCAAACGAGATCTAGTGTGACAGGCTGTTCTTTTTAAGTAGTTTTTTTTCCCCAAAATAAGATTTATTAAGTGTGAAATACGAATTTTTAAAAATTTTTAAAAGCCCCATCTTTAAAAATCTTTAGTGCTCATCGTGAGGCTTTTGAGTACTTAAACTTTATAGTTATGCAGAGGAAAGTAAAAACCAGCTTCAAAAACATCGATCAAGAGAAACTGCAGCATCTCAGGGAACAGAAGAGCTCTTTTTCTTACAGAATATCCAACATGCTTCTGGGTGATGTCCTTGAGTAAGAAGAAAGGCCTGAGAAATAGACTTAGTCTTGCAACCAGGTTCTGTTGCATCATTGTGGGGCATCACCCAGCTCTCTCTACCACCAAACAGTCTTCATTACTCAGGAAAAAAAATAGGGATGTTTTGCTCTTAAAATCACAGTTGCATTGGTTATAAAATAATTGGCACTTTCTGAGTATCACAGATGTACAGGAAATCAAAAGATGCAAATTCCTGGAGTACAATTTTTTTCCATTTCAGTACCTAACAAGATGCTACATAATCAAAAATTAACACAAATGCTGATCCAGAGTTTGGTTCCTGTGAATTATTACCCATGTCCAACCATGAACTGCAAAATCTACAATAATTTTCATTTATTAAATGTCATATTCATATGATTAAATTAAGGCTGTATCTCATGAACCCAGAGTGCATCATTAAGCTCGGCGAACATCTCCTTCAGTATTAGGACAGTATTATTTTGTACTCTAAATCCGGCCTTAACAACCTCTCACTGCATTTCTGTTTCTCCACATAACAATCATATTTTCATGGTGACTTTTCTCTGCAGTCATTCTTTATCAGTGAGCCTCATTCTGCCCCTACTTCTCTTCCCGTCCTCCTCTCCAATTCATTGTATCAGAGGTTATGCTCTCAAAGCAGGTCTTCCCTACCTCATGCTTTTCTTTCAATGATCCTTAGTAATCAAAAATAAGCACCTGTAAGCAAGATAAGCCATATCAGCCATCTTCATCCCATACAGGTCAAGATAATTTATCCCTCTCTTGATAAGGGCTCTAAGAACACAATCTTTTTCTTGTTCTGGGTATATGGAAATAAGCATGCTATGTGTGATATATTTCTGATGTTCTTGATGTCTTTGAGAAAGTTTGGCTTGGCTCATTTCAGCATTCTTCACCTTGTATGGTTTTTGGCCAAGCAACCTGCTCATCATTGATTAAGTGAAGTTTTAAATAAGTTCTGCAGTGAAATCGAGATGTCTGTGCCTGAATATCTGGTCAGGTCCTCATACTGAATCAAGTTTAGGAAGGTAGTCAAGTGTAATGTCAAATTATTTCTCCAATATGAAATATAATGGAATTGATTGCAAATGTTTTATGTGCAGGCTAGATTTTAGATCAGCCTATTCCATTTTCTTAGGACTGAATCTTTAGAAAAGCCAAAGGCTATTTTTAATTTAATCTTTAATTTTAAAAAGTAACCAACTTTTAGACATTAAATAGCGAATTTCTTAAGAATAAAAATAAGGATTGATTTTTTCTTTCACAGAAGTCGCACCAAAGATAAAAAGTAGTGGCTGGAAAGCCATAGATGACAAAGTCTCATTCCCTACACATTGCAAGTCTTTTAATCACACTTGTTTTCTCTCTGGATGCTTGGTTTTGAACTCTGGACCTTCACACTGAGTTATATCCCCAGACTATTCTTTATTTTGAGACAGGGTTTTTGCACTTTTGCCCAGGATGGGCTAGAATGTGTGATCCTTCTGCCTCAGCCTCCAGAGTGCTGAGATTACAGGTATGCATCACCCCATGCTTTGCTTTAAACTCCCCAGGATGAAGACCATTTAGCCTAAAGTAGGCTGGGGCTCAATACTAATACGGGAAGAGAGGAGACCACCTAGTGGTTAAATATCTTAGAGCACTAGGAGATTTTTTTTTTTAGTGGAGTTAATGATTGTATGCAATTCTTGAGGTCAACAGGAAATGAGTTAGAAAGTAATAAATACTAAATATTCACTTAGCACTACTGAGAGACAGCTAAATTACAGACTGTGTATGGTGGAGAAAGGTGTGGCAGTCATTGCATAAGTGGGATTCAGGATTAAATTCAGAGCCACTCTGTGACATGTCCTGGTACTACGTAATATTACTGCTTCTTCTGGCATCACCACTAGTAATAAGAATTACCTTTTATGTTTAAACCCTCACTGTACCAGGCAACGTGCTATCTACCCACACCTTACCCTTTATTTTTCACAACAAAATATGAGGTAGATAATATTCTCTATTTTTACCAATCAGGAATCTATCTGAGGTCAACAGCTGATGAGTGGGAGAGCCATGATTTGAGCTCAGTTCTAGGAAGAGCCCAACGCAGCACAGGACTTATGGGATACATAGATTTGTTTTCTAATGCCATAAAATTGGCAGTATATTATAAATCAAATAATTATGTTTTATATTTTCATGCTTATATGTGAAGAAAAAGAGTTCTCTTGTTCTAGGTATTTCTGTTGCACTTTGCATTTCTAAAAGCACATGTTAAACTAAAGGCAGTTCCTTGTAGATGTGAAATAGGCACTTGGTGCCTTTCAGATAGGCATCCCTTCCTTCCTTTAAACCTTGAGGCTTAATTTACTGTATTTTACTCCTCATTCTAGAATATTCTTCTCAGCTTGGCTGTCAACAAGCATTTCTCAGGAGAGAGCTGTCCCTAGGCCTCTTTGCTTTTTGTCACTTTCCATACTTGACCACTAAGACTGAGATGGATGGCTTGAGTTTAGAAGGAAAGGTCAGGAGACATCCCATTCAGAGATGTGGAGACAGGGACTGGGGAGATAGCTCAGTGGCACCAGTGCCTGTCTGGCAAGCATGAGGTCATGAGTTTGATCCTCAGTGGTTCCTAACCACTCACATAGTGACTACATTAGCCAACCAGGATTTCCTACCGATTGTGGGTTACCAAAATATTTCACTCAAAATGAACTTTAAAAATAAAAGGAAACCTGTGAAGTTACAGTTTACAAAAGACTCTAATTCCTACAATGACCTGTGGGTTAAATACACGAAAATGAAGGTGTACACACACACACACACACACACACACCCTAAAGAACCCTAAAATAATTAGTTAATACTAACCATGCAACAGTGCAATTTATCAAGTGATAGTAATCAGATCACTGCATTTGCAGATTTGGCTGTGGGAGCAGGGGGTAAAGGAGAAACTAGTTTTCTTAAGATCTTTCCCAGTTTGTTATTTTAAAAAGTCCATCCCCTCAAGTCCTCAAGTCTCTCCTGTCCCCAGCCTTAAATGAAAAGGAAAGGAAGGGAAAGGAAGGGGGTATGCCCTAGGGGTGAAAGAAGACTCTCACCCTGGGATGGGGTTATCTTAACCTTTTCTATGCTATTTATTTAACTTGTGTGTACAGCCAGAAGGAAGCCACTACTCAGGGATCCCCGGGACAGTTTAAAACCCCCGTGACCCACTGAACACAATAGATTGTTTTAATCAGTTCGTGTCCTGGCACCATCTCAAGGGAACATAAACAGACGGCACACCGCGAGGATTTACTCTTTCCAGCAAGAGATCCGATTACCTACCCGTGGTCGCCTGGCTGCCCTCAGACCATTTTAGAGGAGATTTTTAACCCTTAGCTTTGAGGTTATATTTCTATCTTTAAAAGCTGGGATTTGGAGTCAGCAGTGGCGGGGAAGATGTAGCTCTATCAAACGCCAGAGTTCCCAAGCGCGCTGGAAAGGGCCAGCAGCAAAAGCTGCTCACCTGGAGTGCTCACCAGGCTGACACCCAGAACGACCAAAGAGCAGGGAGCTGCCAAGGCAGAACCAGATCTGAAGGCATGGCCAGAGAGAGCTGTGTGGCTCTTCCGTTCTTCCTAAACCCAAAGTTTAAAGTAAGTAGGACCGGGGAGATGACGGCCAGCCAGTCCGCTTTCAACACGATTTCACTCTGCAAGCTAGAGCGGGGTCACTGGAGCGATGCAGGCGGTGAGCAAGAACCCGGGCCGGGGCGCACAGCGCACTGGAGCAAGGGACCAGCCGCCTGCAGCCAGCACCGCGGTCTTTGGTGGTTAGTGAGGGGCAGCGAGGCAAGGCTGGTGCCTCTAGGACACGGATTAAAGGGCACCGCGGAAGCGGGAACCAGCCGGTCGCTGCCCGGCGCCTGCACGTCTGCAGTTGAGCCGAGGCGTGCGTGGGATCCGAGTTAGGGTGGTGAGCGCTCACGCGTGTGCGAGCGTGTGCTGCGAGCGGCGCTTGGAGAGCACTGCGGCTCGCTGGGCCCTGCGCCCGGGACCCCGCACCGCGCTCATACCTGTCGGTGTCTGTCGTGGTGGAACCTGGCGGCTCTGCTCTTGCCAGCCCACTTTTCCCAGAGTGCCACCCTCCCCTCGCGGGCTGGCAAATGCACGCTCCATTGATTCTCCGGGTGGTCCTGCCCGCGCGCGCGTGGGTCACTCTACGCGGCTGGGACTGGTCGCCCTTTACGTCCCAGCCCCAGCGCCGCGCCTGAGGGTCCTGAGCTCCTCTCGCAGCAGATGACCGCGCTGTCTGCGGCCCCGCCGTGGGTCCCCCCGTCCCACTCGCTGCTAGCGGAGTGCGCAGGGGTCGCGCGCTCTCGCGGTGCAAGCGAGTCGGGTGGGCTCTGCGGCCTCGAGCAGCAGAAGCGTAGAAATGGCAGGGCCCGGGGAAGTGGAAATGGGATGCTGGGTCCTGCCCGCTTTTGAAACTCCCCTTCCCTACTTCCCAGGAGACCCAGCGCTGCGAGGTCACCGCATCCACGACCGCAGGAGAAACTACCTCGCCCTGGTTCTTCAGCTTTAGCCCAGGAAACCGCAGGACCTTTGCACCTCGAGAGGTGCCTCGCGACTGCACCGAGAGGGACTCGGCGATCGCCTGCAGCCCCCTGCACACAGACACACGGACGCGGTGGCCGCGCTCACCTGTCAGCGCGTCGGGTCTTCGGGGCCTGCGCTCTCGCCTCGGGGCGCTGCGTGAGGCGGCGGCCAGAGCCGCTCCGGCTCGGCGCGGGGTCAGCGGGACCGAAAGGGAAGCAGCCGCCTCTGCGCACTGGGTCGCCGGTCCGGGAAGGGCGCACCGAGTGTCGGGCATCGCGCCGGCGCCCGTTTAAATGTAGGCGGCCGAGCGCGGCGCCCGGGCCCGCCTCTCCATTGGCCAGGCGCCGCGGCCGCCGGCGGACCCGTTATCCGCCCCCTTTCCCGGTACTGCCCCCGCCCCCCGCACTCCTCCTGCTTCCCTGCGGGGTCCCCTCTGCACCCGCCTCGCCTCTTTGTCTGCTCCCCCCGCCCGGCCTGCTGGGAGAGGTCACCCCAGGGAACCGCGCCTGGAATGCACAGCAAATCACATTTTCCGCTCCCGTTGGAGAGGGAAGCGCGGGAGGAAACCCCCGGCTCCGGCCCCAGCCCCGCCGCCCGGCTCTGGGCTTGTCCTCTCGCCGGCTTCGCCTTGCCTGCCTCGGTCGGGCTCCAAGCCCTGGAGCGAAGGCTGCACTGGAAAAGAACAGGATGCCCCGAGGATGGGGACAGATAAGGCGACTCTCAGTCCGCGGAGGGAGCAGGACCGCGGGCCGCCCGCTGGAGCCGGCCCCAGACCTGGAGGGCGCTGACCCTGCGCCCGCGGCCGCCGGCGGAGCCTGTCGCCAACCGGACACCCGGCTCCGCGCCGCCGCCGGTCCTTTGCGCACAGATGCCGGCAGCCTGGGCTGTGAGTGCTGGGAGCGGGGAGTCTGGGAGCAAACCAAAAGACTCTCAACCGTCAAGGTTTCATTTCTAAATGACCCTAAGAAGGGACAGAGCAGCTTGGAGGCGAGATGTGTTTTCTGTAAGTCAGGAAAAGGAACGTGTAGAGAAGGAAACTCCCCAGATAAGACAAAAGTGAAAAACCACGCCTGTGCTGCCTTTTGTGGTCCTTCCTAACAACCCAGTGGACAGGAGAGAATCTACCAAAGGTGTAAATATTTTTTAATATTTTTATTTCAAAAGGTGAGCGAGCACACTTAGATGTCGTGTTAGTTTGGAAACTGGTTCTTTTGAGAGGCCAGAAGTGTTGTGTGCCAGTTAGCAGTCCGCGCAAAAAACCCTAGATCTGCTGAGATGTCTGTGGACTCACTAGGGTGCATCCATCAGTCAGGTTAAATGAAGACTTTGCTGTGGAAGGAAACCTGAAGGTGTCTGTGTTGCCTAAAGCAAAAATAAGTCAAACAATGAAGCTCATCAAAAGATGCTTATGAAACATGCGGGACTTAAGTACTTGGCCAGGAAAACCAAGTCAAACCAGAAAACAGTGTATTTTTTTGTCTTCAGTAAGGCGTTAAGGTGAAGGAGCAACAGCCATATGGAGCATTTACCAGATAATGTTTAGGAATTTAAGAGTTTTCAAAGTAAATGAAGCAGCAAGTTAATGTCTACAGAATCTTGATTGTCTGAATGCTTCGTGCATGTGACAGTTTCTGGGATATGAACTCAGTTTTGCACTTCACGGGCTTCTCAAGAAGTTTTCTCGAATTAACCATAAGTTGTAATTTCTAGCTGTCTGAAGGACACGAACATTCAAAGTCTTTAAAGACCTGCTCAAGACAAGTGGGCTCCTGGAGAGCCAGTTAGTCAGCAATACATGAAATGCTCCAACAGTTGAGAGCTCAGCCCAAGCCCATCAAGTTGTGTGACCCCAGCTGAAGTTCCCCTCTTAGAAAAGGGAGCACATTTCACCAGCTCATTAACTCTTTCTACCCTGAAATGAGTGTTCTCACGTCTTTTCAAGACTCTTACTGCCCCAAATAAAATTCAGAATGGTGAATTTACCCCCTGAAATACAAGCACTTGATTTTGAAGCCTGGATACTGTATTTCTACGTAGTAAATGTTGATCACCAATGTGACTCTGTCTCAAGAAGCCCATGAAACCCTGTAACAGGAACACATCCTCCCCAACCCTCTCACCCATTCAGGATACCATTTTGCTTCATTATCATTTATCTCTTTCTGTCAAAAATATTTCCTGCCACCAGAATGTAAATTTCATAAGGGCAAGGACTTTGCCTAGTTTGGTCACTTTGATTAGGTAAAGCACACACAATACAGAGTGTCTAGCACAGAAATGAATCTGTATGGGTTAGGAATGTTCAGGGTATTACCACTTGCTGGGATTATCAACTGAGGTTGATAATCCAAGTGCTGAGGATAGAACAGTTGTGAAAATGGTAAATACAGGCCCTCACATCCCAAAGTTATAGTCAAGTATGTTTGTAAATATTTATATAGGGGCTTGGGATTTAGCTCAGCAGCATAAGCACCTGCCTAGCAAGCGCAAGGTCCTGAGTTCAATCCCTGGTATGGGGCGGGGGGGGGGGGCAACCTTATATACATATTCAAGGTTTTTGTTTGCTTCATACAATTCCAGAGCTTTCAACCAATCCACACAAACTGCTGTCCACTAAAGAAGGCAGTAGAGTCAAATCTCCTTGGAGCTCTTCAAGCATAATTGAAAACTGCTCTTAGTAAGGAGGGAAACAGAACAACCCAGTGTCATCAAAGTTAAACTTTTAGATCTGAGATGCCTAAACAAAGATCACTAAATAATGAAATTACCTTCTGCCTGTTTTGAAGCTACATAAGAATAGATTCTGATAGACTACTGGCTTCTCAGGTTCATTTCTCCCATTTTGCCTACCTATTTACAGAATAGCATTAGTGAAGTAAATTGGCATCTGTAGGACTTGTTTAGTCCCAAGATATTAAGAGGGGGTTACTTTCCAGGTTTGGGGAAGATGTTTAAAGGCATTTGCAGGGAAATTTTTGCTTAGATCTGGAGAAGTTATTGATAACTGTCCATTTAATTGCAGAGTCTGTGTATATCATTTTGCACTGAATTAAGAAGGGTAAAGCCCTTCACACATCTGAAACTAACCTGGTATGTCCTTTCTTTAAAAAAGTGATAAACAATTAAGCAATAGTTCAAGAAAAAGATATTTGCAGCAATTAAATAATAGCTAAATGATTCATATTCACAAGATTACTTTTATAAATTAACAAGAAAAAATACCTCACAAATAATCTATAAGGAAAAATGGTAAATCACATAACTAAACATATACATCCATCAATAAGTATGAAAAGATGCTAGAATATACCAGTAAATCAAGGAAATGCAAGAATAAATGAGAAGATAGTCTTGCTTATGTATGATGCTCGCAAAGACTCAAAAACTTTGCAATATTCAGTATTAAATAGAGTGTGGAGGATCAAGTAATCAAACAGACAGCACAAGGTCATATATTTTGTTACAACCATTTTGGAGAGTAATTCATCAAAATGTAGCATCAGCCATGCACCTAGTAACCACCCAACTATAACCCTTCTGGGGAAATGGGCTAGAATAACTTAGAAAAATGTGTGAATACATCTATTGTGGTATAATTGTAGTCATCTTCACATCGCTATATAGGAAAAAGATGGCATTAGAAATTACATTATTCACATAATACAATGCTGAATAACCACTAAAAGGAATGGGCTAGATTTTTATATTTTAACCTAAATCTCAAAAGCAGCAGTGTTTTTTAGAAATTGCAGAAAGATATAAGCCATATGACACATGTATGTTTTGTAATGAACACATGAAACACTGTAAATTGTTTCTAAAGACCTATGTTCACAAAGTATAAACAGTGGGTTGATATTCAGACCCCTAATGATGCCTCCCAGAACAGTGATGGAAGGAGCTGAGTCAGGGATGAAATATAAATGAGACTTCAAACTTCTGAAACATCTGAATTCTCAATGTTGAAATACATATGATTAAAGTATAAACAGTTTTGACTTCTGAGGAATGGGCACATGGATGTTAGCATATTTTCTTTACATTTTCATAATTTAAAAATACTCAAATTTAAAAAGTTCAGATTGAAAGAGTGATTTTGACCATCACCTGATCACTGAGGGTTTTGCTTCCTGTGTGTTTTCTGTAACTGGCTCCAAAAGAAACATGTTTTGAGAATTTACATGAGCCCTGATTCTTGTTTGTATGTCTACTGATCTCCAAAAGGCCAGCTTTTGGCTAACCACCTTGCTCTCTGCAAACAGCACCAAAATGGTTACCAGTTTCCTCTTACATGAAAAAATATTCATGCCTCTGAACATTCTGAGTGATATTGCCAAACACAAGTATTTGTATTTAAATTATTCAGGACCTTTTTTTTTTTATTTAAGGAGAAAAGAAAAAAAAAGTGAAAGGGTACAAGTTATACAGATTTACAGAAGAAAAAAATGAACAGTAGGAAATCACTAGTTAATGGATTACATATTGCCATCTTAAAAATAATTGTTCAAGTCATGCAATTTGCATCTCCCTGTGTGTGAGTATTTAAGTGAAAAATGTGAATGTGTGAGACTGCAGGCATCATCTGTCTGTGTGCATGCACGGCAGGAAATGGCTCTGAGCTGGAGTCAGAAAAACCCAAATAAACTCCTCACTCCTCCTCACATGCACTGAACACCTCCGAATCAAAAAACTAACCCTTTCAGCCTAGACCCAGTCATCAGTTTTACAGAAATGGTAAGAAATGGTTGGATGATAGAGTTAAGAGACATTCTGTCTGTGGAAGTGCCACATTCTTCATGAACACTAGTGTGCGTGGTTGCTCTAGCTCAGTGGGGAGCTGAAACCAAAACAGTGAAAGTTTAATATCAGCCCACAGGTTGCGTCTTCTGTATCTTATCTTTACAGTGCAGAATGTAGTGGATGGTGCATAGCAGGTACTTGAGTAGCTCTAATAAACAATGCTGAACACAGAGGAGTGGAGAGAGGGAAAGGGACAGAGGCTGGAAGGAAAAAAGAAAAGAAAGGAAGAGAGGGAGGAAAGAAAAAGGAAAGATGGCACAGAGGGAGGAAGGACCAAAGGAAGGAGGAAAGGAAGAGAGAAAAGGAGAAAAGCAAAGGGGAGGTAAGTAAGGAAGAAGAAAGAGAAACAGAAGGAGAGGAGGGTGAAAGGGAGGAAAGAGAGAAAGGAGGAAGGGGAGAGGAAGTTATGGGAAAGGGAAAGAGAAAGGGAGAAGGAGACAA